CTTGCAGCTGCAAGTTCTATGGCTCCTTTTGGCCCTGGAACTGTGACTAGGTCCTGTGTTCTCCTGCATCCATAAGTACTAGTTCTCCTTTCTTCCTTGCAACTGAGACCAAGGATTCTCCTGTGACCCAGCACAAACATTCTTCTCCACCCTGGAACTATGACCAGGGACCCTGCCTCTCTGCCTGCAAGTGCTAGTGCTGCTCTTTGCCATAGAACTATGACCAGAGCCGCATATGGGTAATATAACCAGGTTCTGCACCTACTGCAAGTAATGGGTCCCCTGTAATCTCTTTCTGATCAGTTGTCTGACCCCTTTGCTATCCATGGGCTGAAAGCTCCTGAGGCTGCCCCTATTGCAGCTGCCTCCAAGGCCTACTGCTGGTGTTGCCATGGCATGTGCTGCGCTCTGGGCCAACTCCCATCCCAGTGTTATAGACTTCTCGTGGCTAATCTTCTAAGTTGTCTTGGACTAGAAAAATGTCTTACCCTAATCTTTTGTTGCTCTGCCACTTCAGAATTTGATTTGAGGCATCCTTGTAAAGTTGTTTGGAGGGATAGTTCAGTTGAATTGCTGCCTGTACTCCATAATCTTGGCTCCCAAATGTCATTTGTTATTAATGTTATTTTCAACTTCAGCATGACATAGTCCTGACTTCTGTCACCACTGACTCATTCTTCACTGTACATGGATGTTCTTTCTCAATCTGGTATCAGATCCACTCCACACAAGTAGTGTGCCTTGAGTATCCCAGTTATGTTCTGATTACTTTTCATCTTTATATAGTGGTTGGGCTAGATGTGTTATGCACTGGCTTTGATTCTCTAGCTATTCCAAGCATGTATGGTATGTTGTCTTCTCTGTTACATGTCAGCAATATCAAGGGATCTATTTTATACCTCAACATTTTCAGAAAAGTGATAAAGCACAACAAGAGGTCAATAAATGCTTAAAAATCACATATTCACATGTGTGTGATTGCACTGAATGTGGATATTCATAGGAGGCCTACTCAACAAACAGGAACCTTCCTTGATTTCTCTTGACATTTTTCAAATAACACTGAAGACTATAGATTGTCCCCCTTCACTTTCACCAAGTTTCCAATGTACCTTTTTCATTAATTTATTTGATAACATCCTTTACTCCACTTCTGTTTTGCAATTCCTGGTTTGTAATGTTTTGTGGCCTACTCTCAATCACTGCGTCTTTATCAATGAGCTAGACTATTGCAATTCTTCTTAAACAACAGCTTTTCTGCAACTCAGAGCCATGCTCCCCACTGGTAGAATATTGATAGAGAATGTGGGGCCTCTATTTTTAGGAGAAATTTGGAATTATTAAAGAATTTTGACATTTCCTAAATGCAGTCCAGTCCATTACCCTCTTCCTGCTCAATTCAAACCCTTAATTAGTTTTCTTTTTAAGTCTTTGTCTAACACACCTCCCCTCCCACCTCCACTCTCCCCCATTCCATGAACTCCAGTGGCTCCCTATTATTTCTGGAAGAAAATCTATGATCCTCTGTGTGTTTTTTAAAAGCCTTTCATAATATTGTCCCTTTCCTACTTTTCCAGTTTTCTTATACCCTACTCCTTTCTACATATTCTATGATCCAGTAACCCTGGCCTCTTTGTTTTTCCTGGCACATGACACTCTATTTCCTGATGGTGTATTTTCACTTCTACGTCTGGAATGCACTCCCTCCTCATCCTTGCCACCTGGTTTCCCTGACTTCCTTCAAGTCTCCTCTAAAATTTTGCCTTCTGAAATAAGTTTCTCCCAGTTCTCCTTAATCTTAATTTTTTTCCCCTCTGAGAATATTCTCAAGATATTTTGTACACATTTTTTTTTTTTTGCTTGCTGTCTCCTCCACTAAACTGTGAGCTCCTTGAGAGCAGGCACTATTTCACCCCGTTTCTTTTTATCCTGAGCAAGGTATCTGGCCTTTAGTAAGTGCTTAACAAATATTTATTGATTGACTAACTTGTCAGTTGTCCATGTGACTCACTTATAATTATCCATCCAAGTACGTATCGTAGTCTTAACAATAGGCATTTTTTCATTCACTATCCTGCCCGGATAATTAGACCAATTTTTTTTCATTGTTACATATTTCATTTAGGGGCTTCTGAAATGTTTCAGCATGATGTCACCTATATATAGGACCATACTTTAGACTTTACCATCTATAGGAAATTCTCATTCAATTTGAACTTTTTACTGGATCTCCTCCATTTCAGTGGTAAATACCTTTGGCGAGCTTGTGGCTGTCTATATCATGCTTTGATTGATATTCATAATCAGCATGTTGTTCAACAAGTCAAACAAAGTCATCCTGGTTGTTATATATTTCATGGAATCTTGAGTAATTTTGACATGTACAAAAATATATTGTTGAAAGAGTGTCTTTAAGCTTTGTTCTGTTATTAGGCCTATATACCAAAGAAAACAAAGGAAAAAAAGATCTATTTTTAGAAAAATAGCTAGAGTTTTTTTAGTAGCCCCAAATGGAAACTAAGAGAGTGTCCTGCTAATGAGAAATAGCCAAATAAATTGTGGTATATTATTATGCTATAAGAAAACGATAATTTAAGAATCAACTGGTAAGACCTCTATGAACAGATGCAAAGTGAAATTAGTAGAACTAGGAGAACACTTTATACAATGGCAACACTGGGAAGAAAAACACAACTTTGAACGACTTTAGAACTCTGATCAATGAAATGAAAAAAAAAATACAAGTCCAGAATACTGAAGATGAAATGTAGAGCCTATCTCCTGCCAGAAAGACTTAAAATAGAGAGAGACATACTTTTTTGTACTTAGCCAGTGTGGGAATTTGTTTGGTGGAACTATTCATATTTGTATGAAAAGTTCTTTTGTTTCTTTCTTTTATTGCTTTAATTGCTTAAAATTGACATGTAAGAAAAATGAAAAAATGCTGGAGGAACTGTAGGAAAAAAGCAGCTATATTAATGCAGTGTTGTGGGAGCTATGAACTGGTCTGGCCATTTTGGAAACCAGTTTGGAACTGTGCCCCAAAAGCTATTAAACTATGCATTCCTATTGACCGAATGATACCACTACTAGTCTACATTCTAGTAGAGATCAAAGAAAAAGGAAAGTAGATATGTTTTAAAATAGTAAATGTGTACAAAAATATTTATAGCAGCTCTTTTCATTGTGGCAAATATTGAAAACTGAGGGGGCCACATCAATTGGGGAACAATTGGCTGAACAAATTATCGTATATTCATTGATAAAATGTTATGATTATATAGGAAATTTGAAGGGAGTGGTTTTATAAAATCCTGGGAAGACTTTTGTGAAACTGATGAAAAATGAAGTGAGCAAAACCAGTATAACAATACATACAATAGTAACAATACTGTAAAGACAAATAACTTTGAAAGAGTAAGGAGCTCTGATCAACACAACAGAACTAAAAAATGTAATTACAAAATGAAAAAAAAACAGAAAATATAGTTACATTTTCAAAGTACTCATGGTTAAACATGCTCTCCACCTTCAGATAAAGAGGTGATGGACTCAGAGTGTAGAGTGAAACTTTTTTTTGGGGGGGGACATAGATGCTATAGATATTTGTACACAAATTTGTAATGGGTTTTGTTATTCTGCTTTACTAATAGGGGAGAGGTAGGCAGAGATTAGAGGGAAAGAATTCAGAACTGAAAATAAAATATAATTGAGTTAAAAAAGCAAAAGAAAAAAATGTGGGGACCTTGGGAGGAGAGATAGAAATAAATATTTATAATAAATAAATTTAATAAAAAGTTTTACTTTAATTGAATCACATACCTATTTATAGCCAAGAAATTATAAGAACAGTGGGATGAAAAAAATCCTGTACATCTTCCAATTAATTGTATAGTGGTAAAAGTATAGTTTACTGAAGAATATTGCTTGCAAAAACTTGTCCATTCTCTTTTAATATTCTCATTAGGGATGCCTTTGATATGAGTGTATCTTATAAAAAATATATAAATGGGAAAGGTGATATAGACGTTGGTAATTGATATTCTCTTGCTCACCTTTCTTGAGGGATGGTAATAAAATAATTTTAACTTGATTCCTCAACATCTTTATGATAATTATAGCTTCCAAAACAGACTTCCTCTATTACCATTCGGTATGGTCTGGCTATTTTCATAAATTGTTCTCAGTGCCATTTCAATAAGTGCTTATTGAATGAAAATTATTGTATCCAATTGAGCCCCAAATGACAGAATAGATCAAAGATATTCACTGAGCTTAAAAAAATCAGTTTGTGCTAGCTTCTCTCCACCTACATCCACCAAAAAAACTATGTCTCAGCAGATCATATTAATCTTGAACAATATTTTCCCATAACTAAAGTCCTCATTTCTCATAGCTGCAGACACACCAAAGAAGTCAGGAGCTATTATGGACTCTTTCCATCCTCTACCAGTTTTCATACCACATGAGGCATGTTTTGGATAGTAAAAATGGGTATTTTCATGGGTAACTTTTAATTTCTCCACATTTCCACTTGTCCATATTTCACAAAGTATTATTTCATATGCATTGTTCATTGTTTAATAGCTCATTGGGTGGAAATTCTTTTTATGAAAACCACCATAAAATGAAAGATCTCCTTGTATTTTTTGCATAGACACTAAACACCCATTATCACAGACATAAAGTTATTGAAACAGAGATGTAAGGTTTTTGAATCTTAAGCTTTACAGAGAATCATAGTGCACTGCCATTATGTAATGCCTATGTTAACCGCATTTGTGCAATATCCGTGCAAATAAATGCAAACATTTCACAACTCATTAAAAATAAACACAATCCTTCACCAACTTTCTCCTAAATACTTATGCACACAGAGGATAAGAAAAATATTTTCTCCAAACAGCCTAATTCAGGCTGAGAGCCAGGTAGCAACGTAAGCAAAAAATCATCTTAAACTATAAATCAAATCTTAAGAAATACAAAGAGATGCCACTAACCCACAAAATGTAGAACTGAGCAAACATATGCCAGTCTGGTCCTCTCTAGACAGGTGTCAGCCAGCCATCCCACAAACACAGGTGTGAGCATGGAAGTCCCAATGAAACTGAGGTTCACAATGACTGCCTGGTAGTTGTGGTAGCCTAGCTTTACAGTGCAAAAAATAATCATATTACAGACGATGGCAAAAAAAGTAAACCTTTCGCACAACTCCACCAGCAGCAAACAGATTCGAGCCTGAAGTTTTTTCTTGGTCTGTGATACAGGGAAATCACTGCCATTCCTTTTCCTCTTCCCATCTTTTTGGTGGCTTAGAAGGAGTTTCTCTTGAAGTTTTTTAAAGTTTGCAACAGGCATGACTAACCACCTTGAACAAATAAGTGGTTTAAACTTGTTTTTTTCCTCCGCCCTCTAATGAAATAAGATCTTTGCTTTGAATTTCACAGCTCCATGCTACAATTTTGTAATATTCTTTGCACATTAATGTTATTCATTTTGGGGATCTGAGAGCACAATATACACAAGTATTTAAACTTCTATTGTCACACAGCTGTGTCCAAATCTGATTTGTTTGTTTAATTAGTTTATTTATACTCTTCTCCTCCTTCCCTAAATTATATTGAATTACATGAATCCCATTGAATATGTGTGGGAACTCATCTGCTTTACACTGATAAAGGTTTAAATTGTGAGGCAGGTGAAGCAATATTTCAGGAGAATTTGAATAGTAGATCAAGAAATAATTTGAGTCTAATAATTTCTGATGCTTTAATTAAAAAAGCCAGAACAGTACAAAGAAATAAAGAAAATTTGTTTTGGAGAGTGTGATATCTTATCATTATTACATTTCTTTTTATTTTTGGTTGAAATTCAGATAAGAAAGTTAATTAGGTAACAAAAATGCTAGTACTTTCAGGTGACTACCTGGGTTTATAATAGAGTAATTTGAGTTCATTAATGAAACAGAAAAATATTAAACAAAAGGTAATGTTTGAATGTTATTATAAACTAGTGGTCAGGAATAAAGAAACAAAGATACTTTTGGATAAGGGCTTATTGGATCTTTGGTTATCTAAGTGAGTGGATAATGACATGCAGTTTTGGAAGGTAAGAGTTTATGAATGAAACCAAACAGCGGTAAGAAGAAAATACTTCAGATTTCAAGGTAAAACTATGAGTCTATTAGAAGGAGAGTGGCTTGTAGACTTAGTAGCTAGATAGGAACTATATGGAGCCAGCTTTATATAGTAGAAAGAACACTGGATTTGGAGCCAAGGGATTTGGTTAGAGTCATGACTTTAATGCATTGTGGTATAAAATCTTCAGCCAATGGGTCATAGGGTGCCCTCTTCCAGTAAGAGACTCTGGCTTTGGGCTCAAGCTGATGGGGTTCAATCCCAAGGGGATCCTGATCCCTAAAGAAAAGATTTTTAAAAAGCTTTTCGTTGCACTACATGACTCAACATACTTGGACTCCCAAATTAAAACTCTCAGAGGAAGAAGTCCAAAGCAAAATGTAGACATGACACATGACTACAATCTCCCTAAAAGGGATTAACAGGGTTTCTTCAAAAAAGATACTCAACATACAAAGTAAATCAGGCATAACACAGCTATTTATTACAAATAAATGCTTAAAACACAAAAGACTTATAGGCACACTTTGACAAAAACTTAAAATATGAAATAGTAGCCCAAAATAAAATTCATGGCTTCAAGTTTCTATACACAAATTACCAAAGTTTAGGCATCAGATAAGAAAAACGAGAAGTCCTAAAGCAACGGGGCTAATATGGCCCAGTATGTATTACTGAAAAGTGGTGAAATGATACTCATGAGCAGACTATAACTCTGGATGGGTATGCCTTATTTAAAAGAAAAAAGATAGAAAAAGATTTGTGGTAAGTGTAGAATTGTATTTTAAGAAAGTATGTTCATTTGAGGAAATCTTGGAATCAGAATGGGAGAAGCATGACAGTGAGTATTTAGGCAAGGGAGAGAGAAATAGAATTGATTTTGTCATTAAAGTATACTATAAAATAAGCTACTTGGAGAAAACGAACAAAGATACAAAGAGTTTGGGAAACAGATCACAAGCCTACCACAGAGACATCATATAGGAATGATAGGGATTTCAGTCACCCAGATATCTGGCAGAGGTTTCTCTTTACCAAAAACAGAATAGATGATAGCCTTTTGATTTACTTTAGCAGTAATTAAATATTTCAAAAGGCTGAACAACCAATGAGTGAGAATGCTATTCCGGATCTGGTTTTCACCAATAGGGAGGGATTGATTTCTGGGATGAAAAGGGTAGGAATCTTAAGAGAAAGTGATCACTGTAGTCAGAATTGGCAACAGAAAAAGAGGAAATCTGGGCATACATAGTCTGATGTATACTCTAGATTTAGTGAAAACACATTTCAAAAGGTTCAGAAGAAATATATGTAGGATTCCATGGACCAAAATTCTTCAGGGGACAGAGCAGCAGTGAAAGGAGATGCTTCCATAGTTTTGGAATTGCCATTGTTTCCCAGAAGAGGAAGGGGAAAATAAATTATCTCCTTTCAGGGAGAATCCAGTGAGTGCTCTGGGGGTACCATGCCATACTTGAGAAAGAAGAGAGCAAATAATGCAAGTTATCTCTCCTTTTAAAGTGTACTAAGTAGGCTCTTCTTCTCAACTAATTGGTTTTGATGTAGCCTCTTCCCTCTGTTGCAACCATGGGGAATGAGTGATTACTATACCATTGCTAAGTGCTTCATCAATGATCATATGTCTCCACAAATGGCCAAGGGAGCTCAGCTTAGCTTCATGTAGGTGCCCTAGGGAATGCCTTAGCTAGAACAGATAAGTGCATGTGTATTGGGCAGGTTTGATTGCCCCAGTTTTACCTAATCCTCTGGTTCCAAGGCTATGGAACGTTAGTCATTTTCTCCATATAATTCCAAATTTCTTTACAGAACTGTTAGAAAAATTGTCAGCTTCACCAACAGCATGTTGTTGTTGTTTTCTTTACAACCCCATCTTTTGACATTTTTGTCAATTTCTGAGTATTAGGTGAAATTTCATAGTTGTTTCAATTTGCATACCTCTTATCCTTAGTGATTTATAACATTCCATTCATTTACATGGTTGTTAAAAGTTTGTAATCCTCTTTTTGAAAAGAGACAAAATCCTCTTTTTTGTTAATTTTATCTTGAGATTTTTGATTGTTGATAAGATTCTTAATAAAATTCTTATTAAGCTCATAATCAAAATAAGTTCATAAATAAAAATAAAAATGTATCTTAAATTAAATTTAAACAGAAAAGTAGGAGATTCTCTGCTGCTCTTCATTCTTAGATTTCCTTGTCAACTCACAGTCAAATGAAAGCTAGAGTTGAAGGATGGCCTGCTCACAGAAAAATCTGGTTTAATGGAATAAATGGAATGATTAATATCATGATTTTTTATAATTATAAGAAATAGACCTCTCAAGAAATATAAATAATCTATTCAAGAGTAAAGTCACTCTCAAATCCAACTTTAATATTTGAACTATATGCATTTACATAATGTAACTTACACTTTACCAAGAAAACAATAATAATTTATTTGCTAGCAACTAAAACTTTGCTCCCTTTTTGCTCCTGCAAAATATTATTTTAACAACATTAATATTATTCTTAGTTTGCTGACTCTGATTTGTACAATTGTGTTCAAGTTTTTTTTTAGATCTTTTTGTATTTTCCATATTTGTCATTTTTACATTGCATCTATGGGCAGTCTTAGGGTGGTGGTTACCATCTGTCCAGAAACTGACATTTGATTCTGGTATATAGAATGGAATATAGTTTTAAATAGTAAAAGTGTTTACTCATTGCTGCTCCTGGGGCATTCCTGAATTTTCTCCATGTCTTGTTCAGTAGGCTCAAATTGAGAGCTGTCTTTGACCCTGTCCTGAACTTCAAGATCTTTCCAAAGCCAGAAATTAAACTGGGTACTGCTGCAGGATGGGGAAACTGTTGTGTTCCTTCATATCTGTTACCATCTCACTAGGTCTCAAAGTTATGTTTTGAGTAAACTTTTGAATAGCAACTTTTTTGGGGGGAAGAGGTTCTAAGTACCTCATGCACAGCAAAAAAAAAAAATGGACACAACACAGACCTTAACATAATTATCAATGCACATTTAAACTTTAGGAGTATTTGCTTTTTTTCCCTATAATAATTCATATTTCTTTGCTCTTTAAGACTTAAAAAGAACTTTCCTTCCAACAATCCCATGAAATAGATAGTTCAAGTATTATTCTCATTTTTTGAACGTAATATTAGGAGATATTTTAAAGAGTACTCCAACTCCCTTCTTTTACAGATGGAGATACTGAGAAGGCCATGTGACTTGTCTAAGTGCACATAGGTACCAAGTAGTGGAGTTGGAGTTTACAACCAATTGCACTGTCTCCAAATCCAATATTATTTCCACTACACCATAATGAAAACAGGAACTCAAGTCAGGGAAGTGACAGTAAATGTTTGAGCCAATATTTTAGCCAAGAACTCCTGATTCCATGTACTCTTACAGGAGTTGTGCATACATCAGCTGTTTTTGCTTTCCTGCTATAACTTCCTGGAAGTCATAGTATTCCAAATGCTTATGACTAAAAAAGAGCATATTCATATTCATAAGGATTGTCTTTGCCCTCCCCTCCCACAAATAAAGAAAAAATCTATGTAGCGAAGTTAAAGACTCAGGTAAAATACTGAGTAGGAAAGTAGGCTTTACTTGTAAATAAAGAATTGCTGACATTTCAAAATTAGAAAATGATGTGTGATCTATTTAATTTAACAAAAATATTTGCAAATTAGAACTGGAACTAGAGTAGTTAGCTTCTTATGGTGCAACACAGTGGTTAGGGGCACAATAAAGGATAACTTTTTAGTATTTTTTAAAAAAATTAATGAATATATTTTTTAAATTTGAAAAGATTCAACTCCTTAGATATTTGTTTAGATATGTTAAGGCACGTATCTTAGACAGTAATACACAAAGGATGAATTTCTCCAAGTTGCAAAGGGGGAACAGTTTTCAAACTTAGCCAAGGCAAACAAATGCCACAACACTATTTCCTAAATATGTGACCATATAGGAGGCACCATGGAATAATGAAAAGAAGATTTCAGAATCAGAAGATCTAGTTTCAGGTCCTGACAATAGCTGTCACAAGCACTTGAGAAACAAATATGAACATGAAGACAATCATTACCTTCAGGTAACTTCTATTCAAATGGGGAAGACAGCACATATCATCAGTGTCAGACATGGAGAGGTGTTTCAGGTTATAAAGGAGTGGACTGACTTTGTTGTTCAAACAC